ACGAAGCCGAGATCTAACCCTTTTGATGTTGGCAGTGGTTGACACAGACTTCGGTCGACCTGATCGATGACGATCTTCTGTAGAGTTTGTCTCAAGGAACCGCTGAATTGTACGTTTGATGAAGTTCCGGTTGTAGCCATTGTTCTGGAGCAGTCGGAAAATCTCGGCGGGAGACTTCCCAGCTTCGTGCAAACTGATCACAGCCGACCGACGATCTTCATTGGACAATGGCATGACGAAACTGATAGTTTCATCAGCACTTTGAGAATCCCCTGAGTCGCGCGTACCTTAAGCTACGTGTAGAAACCTAGCCAAGCACATATGAACGTGGTAGCTTAGAATCGAGAACAGTTTTATAAAGTGTACAGAACTTTTGTGTCACCCTGTATTGTGTGTCGCTTTCGCTCTCACATAGGCGTTCACCTCTGTCTTTACTGATTACAGTACACGTCAGAGGTTGGACCACCTCTTTTAGGTTCTGTGGAGTATACGGGTTATCAATCCCTTATTACCTCATCTAATTGAGGTATGATTGACTGAAGTTCACAGACACTCTCTGTATATTTTAGATCTCCCATGCGCTCCAAACGTTCCAAAAGTGTTCTCTATAGTAATATGAGCTTGTTTATGGCCTGGACTCTATGAATATGTCTTAAATATGTGGATAACAAATGATGAAGTGTCCGTGTTTATTGGTTCCTATAATGAGACTAGGCGAGACATATGGCAAGGTACTAAACAGTTCTGCGAGGGACGATTCCAGGGAAAGAGGGAAGGGAACTTTTGTATACTGTGCGAAAAGCGAGAACCCTTACCTCCATCTAGTTGCCTGGCAAAGAACCTCAAGGTTTTCACTTCAATACGAGCGATGAGGGAGCATTTGGTCAGTAATAAGAGAGTAAATTCGAAAAGCTCACGGTGTGCTCACTTTATATTTCCCAAACGCTCGGAATTTTCTAAGAGTGTAGAACCTACTACGTGCCGGTCAAGGTTTTTTCCTTTACACCACCGAACCCAGGCGGTTTAATTCTGCCTCTCCATACCATCCCTCACACTACCACGATAGAAGACATTCTACACATGCCTCCGCCGTCACCCCTCAGGGTGTTCACACCTCCGATACGGAATTCTTCACAGGGACGTATACAAGTCCCCGCGCATCACACTTGGTCGTCCCCTTTCATACCTCGAGGAAGGATTACTTTCTCGCCGGGGATGAGATCTCCGCCCGTATATTTCTCGGGATCAGGAAAAGTCGTTTCGTAGGCACGAACACCCCTGTGAGTAAGGGGGGATGGGGTGGGGGTGCGCAATACGTATAATGTTAGAGCGGTTGCAACGCAGAGCGTTGAGAGAGCCGTCTAAACTCTTGAATGCCCAACGATGCTACATGCTTAGCCTGGGCCCCTGCGTGAAAATTTAAGCATGGGGTAACTTCACATTCGTCGGATAATATATGGGTGAAAGCAACCGGATCCCATCAGGGTTGGACAGAACAGGATGGCTTATTCAAAGATGCCGCTGGCTGGGTCGTTTCCATCCCGTGTCCATATCCGTATATTTCACTCATAGGCTTGCACGCGAAGTGATGGAGATGGTCTTTACGGACCAAGCGGACAAGGTTGCAATCAATAGGGAAAAGTGCGATAAATGTCGCGGGCGAAGATCTCACCCCGGCGAGGAAGTCATCCTCCCTTCAATGGGATGAAAGAGGGCTAGAAGAATTGTACGTGGGGACACATAAATAATGGGATAGAGCTGCTGCTGCCTATAGCGATGATAGGGCCGCCGAATGAACTCGGGATTTCTTGCCGAAGAGTACGTGGAAGTCTTCCACGGGTCGGCTAGTACTCGGCTGACTCATGGTTACCGTTGTGGCCATGAACGCGACCCTTTCGTGGTTTCAGAGAAGCAGATGGCGTTAAAAAATCGTGAGCCTACATATAGAAAACATGGAATATTCGCACGTTGCACGAGATGTTGAATACTCACCTAATACGAGTTTTCTCAATTTAGGAGTCGCCCATCCGTCTTTCTCCAACCTCATAATTTTATTCCACATGAGAAAGAGTTCCTCGAGGCTTCTGCTCCGAAGGGGCGGGACGGACGCGAAGCGATTGAGCGGGAGGATGAGAGCCCTGAGGTTGGTCAGCCGGGGGAGGACGTCGAAGGGAAAACTCTCCATGTGACAGGAGAAGATTTCCAGCACGGATAGCGTCTCTGCGGAAGAGAGGAGGGCCGACGGATGGATCGTCTTCACGACGCTGTTGCGGATGTTCATCCTCTCGAAGGAGACGTTTTGTAATGCTCCTTCTGGGAGTTCTTCTACGTTGGTGTTCCGGTCCATCTTGAATTTCCTGCGAAGAGAAAAAAAAATATTTACGTATTTTCTGCAGATGTTAGTACTTAAATGTATATGTTCGTCTTCGTGAAGTGGGAAATTTGTTCAAGTTACAGTCGAACTTGGTCACGACGACCTCCGATTGCAAGACCTATGCTATAGCGAAGGAGAATATCTGTTCCCGGGCCAGAGTCCATGAGGTGCGTGCATTTTATAAAGCATTCATTTCGGATTCAGTTATTACGAGTACCACGGTAATAACGAAGTGAAGTTACGGTTTCATTGACGGAATTGACGATACCGTAAGGTTCTTAATTCATTGTCATTCTAAACCTGTAACACGAATTTCAACCGTCGGGAACATAATCGCCGACTGTTCTTAATTTTCTCAGTATTTACTTTCCAGGAGGGCCTCAAGGGAGGAGGGAGGGAGGGATGGAGGGAAGGAGGGAGAGGGATGATCCCCAGTCTTCCACGGATCATCTCATCTTCAGAGATTCTCATTTCTCGCTGAAAACGTGGTGAGCCCGCATCGAAGGGGACGTCGATGACGGGAGAAAGGGTGTTCTGAATCTCTCGTGTAAGCGCTGGCAGCCGGATTTTTAAAATTATTATGCGAAGCTCGTAAACGCTCTTCAGCTGAGTTGTGCAACGGTTCTAAAAAGGAAATTGTCGACAGTGAAACCATTATAGGCGTTGTAACAGAAAATTTCCCCAAAAAGTTGCGGGACGGGATTTGTACTTACAGGCAGAAAGATGCATTCTGCGGCACGGCAGTCGTGTTTTTTGTCCGATAAAGGATCCCGTGATGAAAGGATCCCCTGCAAATATCATGTATACCGGCGGTATTCAAAGTGCCTTCCGCGGGCCGAATGCGCTCCAGTTTATGGTTTTATGCGGCCCACTAAAATTAACTAATAAATGACTCTTTCATATCTAGGTGTTTTACCACTCATGAATAACCGCGAGGAACACATTTCTTAAATTCCAGATTTGGTATTCATCGTTGTAAACTAGTAAGTTTAGGCATAACTTAGATATTTATATTTATATATAATACATGTTTACATTGAGAAGCTTATGCATTTAGGTGTACCAAAGCCGCACTTAGTACCGATGCACTTCCCTGGTACATGAATACTGACTCAAAGTAGGAGCAATTTCCGTGACTACGTACGGTGGAAGTGTGTATGGATGCACCAGGAATAGGCAGTTTTTTATTGCTGCCCATTTTTCAAAACCCTCACCTGAAAACGTTTGGGATTCGCAGAGATTGCGGGCTGCCTCCCTCGTCTCGTAACGACTCACGAGGCGGCGTAGCGTCACAGACATCGGATTTGTATATAGCGCATGCTTGAAAGAGCTGGAATGGAAAATACAAATACCTCCCTCCCTCCTAACGAACCTCGGCTGTACTCGTAACATCTATTTGTTTCCTGGTGCCTGCGACGTCGTCGCAGGAACCAGGAAGAGCGATATGAGACAACCGTAGGATGGGACTGGAACCCGCACGAGAAGTGCAAATAAGTATTAGCTCATTTCGTTCTTCTCTACGAAGAGGTGCATCGACAGCACACAACTACGAGATCATATAGGTATATTTATTTCCGTTGGATTATTTCCTCCTAATATGCCCCCACCCGAGATCCAGGGGGGGGGGGGGGGAATAAATTTCGGAAAGAAATTTGCACTTACTACTAATAAAAAGTCATTGTGTTTCCTCCACTATCCCATGGCAATGAAGCTTCAAATTTGCTGATGTGATTCTGCGTTCAGAGGGTTGGAAGCATGCTTAATTTGGCTGCTCCAGATGCTCTCGGAAAGAATTACGAGGAACTGAAATTTTGCAACAGGAAGAAATGGGTATGAAAGAAAGAAATAACGCTTTCCTAATGATAACCGGACCATCTGTACCTGCTTCGAATGGGCCCAATAGTATGTACGAAGTCGTTGTTCCGATGGGAGGTCTCACGTCGCCGCAGATGAAACTTCATAATTGGGGGGATGGGGGTGGGGTTTCCTTCATCTAACAGTGCGGGAACTGAGATATTGAAATGGGTTTGTTTGGCTTCTCAGAGGTCCGTATCTCTTGGAAGTCGAGAATAGGAATGAATCACTTGGTTTGCTTCGTAAACCAACTGGAAACGCTAGGATCATTCTCAGAACTAACATTAATTCGGCCTGACTCCTTCAACCAAGTCATTTTCAACTCTTTTTATTCTGGCTGAAAAGTCGCAAGAAACGCGGACGAAAGACGTGACTTACCAGAATTGGCGCCAGGATGACTCGTTGAAGGTCGACCGGAGCTCCTCGCCGGTCGTGCCATTGGAACAATCCACCGTCACTAAGCCGGCGTGAGATTCGGAGCGGGTGCAGGGCGCCTGCTGGGGATCCCCCTGCTCCGTCCCGTTATGAAGGCGTTGGTGCCCGGCCGCCGAGGAGGAAGGGGAGAGGATGGAAATCCAGAGAAAGAAGAATCTGGTCATTTTTCGATGCCGATGAGGACCGAATGGGCACGACGTGCTTCTTTTCCTCGGGCACTGCCTCCTATCCGACGTAGCCTCGGATGGAATCCAAGAGAATCCAAGCCTTCCCTTCTCTCGTTTCCCCCGACTTCCGCGACGAACGTATGGCTGTCGTGCCGAGGCTTTCCTTCCTGATCTAAGGAGGAGAAAAAGCCGGTTTCTTCGAGAATCCGAGCGGAACGGCGTCATCGGCCCGAGGGATTTCCCACGAAAGGTTTCATCGATGCGACGATTCCTTCCGATGCCGACCTTTCTGATCGTGTCGTCCGCATGCCGAGAGGGGAGGGTATGCGAACGGAATCTCGAAACCCAGACTCTTGAAAGCATGAACCTCGAATGAACGAAATCTCCAATTCCATATCCTCGATCGAACGCACGAAAAACACCCATAAGCCTTACCTTCACTTCGTTGATTTCGTATGGGAGCGGTTAACACGATATTCAGTCATTCATATGCCAGCTATAAATGCGCGCTCTTGAGGCAGTGCAAGTTGATATCTGAAAGCAATTTGTGTTGACATGTGGTGTCCGTAACCTAGGTCCTCATGGTTTTGAGTAGGACGACAAGGCTGATGCTCCGGCTGAGGGAAGAGCAGGTTAATCATGGCATTAGTTGAGGAATATGGTGAAAGGATGCCATACCACCACCAAGTGTAATGATCCATCACTCTCTTTCCTTCTTGAAGTCATGGTTGATTTTAATTTTTATATTCTGTGATTTGTGCACTGGTTGGAGAGATAAAACAGGTCGTGTTCGAACGAGGAAGAGATTTTTGGAAGGAAAATGTAGGCATCACGTCGAAATCATGGAAGAGGTTTTTTCACCCAAACCTCAAATTGGTTTCTCCCATTAAAATATGAGCAGTACGCTCTAGATCAACATAAGTACGGGCTTCTTTCTTTCCTTTTTTTTTGCAAAGGAATCGACGAGGACAAGACAAGTCGACGTTTTCTCACACTTGGCTTTATTTCACATCAAATTTGCCAGGCAAGTGGTTCGTGGAGTCCTCTCTCATATTTCTGGGCAGAAGTACCCATCCTTGGAAACATCCATTATCCAA